CGTTTTGCTCAGCCCTTGTGTCCTGCGTCCTGGGTCCTGATGTCCTGTCCACTCCTCCCTCAATGACCAGGCCCCTAGGGGGGGACGAGGCGGTGATGAAATGTGGGGAAGGGCCATGGTGAGGTTAGAGCAGCGGGCCGCATTGCCCTTGCGTCCGCGCTGGCCTGGAGCGGCCTGCTGAGCTCCCGGAAACCGTGGGGAACGGTGGGTCTCGGAGTTGGTGCCATGGTTTTCTGTCCTTCCCTTCCTGGACCCCGAAAGAGGCCCGCCGCCTGCTTTTTAGATATGAGGCCAGAAGCTGGGCCAAGAAGCTCCACAGAGGATGGGAAAGGGAATGTCTTTTTTCCTCCATTCTATTATGCATCTGAATAACGAAGGTCATTTGATTCATTGTTTCAAAACAAAACACGATATGGCCAAGCCAAGTATTTGGTATTTTGTAGGCCAAACATTCCAGGTTCTTTTCTCTGCATTATTCCCCATTAGTAGATATTTTTTAAACTGTTACTACATCGTGTAAGATGGAGTTTTTCAGTCTGTCAGCTGTAAAGAAAGAAAGCTTGTAAGTTCCTTCCAGACCCAAACCCTCACCTCAGGAACATGTCCTGTTTTTCTTTCTTTTTCTTTTTGTGTGCTACTGGGGTAGAACCTAAGGCCTTCATACTGAGCTACATTCCTAATCCTCTTTTATTCTTTATTTTGAGATGGGGTCTCCCTAAGTTGCTAAGTTGCCCTGGCTGGGCTCCACCTTTCCATCCTCCTTCCTCAGCCTTGAATGTGTGTGACCACAGGATGGTCCACCAACAGTGCTTGAGAATTCCCAGGTCAATAGGTGTAGGTGGAGGGGCAGGCAGAGAGGCAGTTTTTCTGCACCAAACTTTGTTCTGGCTTGGGGTTCAGCTTCTACTCTGCAGTCTGCCTCTGTTAAATCTACTCTGGCCAAGCAGGATGGTTCTTGAACAAGACATCATGTGGGAGAAAGACAGCGTGGCTTGGCCGGCCCCTGCCCAGAGCCTAAGCAGCTTTCCCGTTCTGTGTGTGTGTGTGTGTATGTGTGTGTGTGTTTTAAGATAGGTCTTGCTATGTAGTCTCAAAATCATTGCGATCTTCCTGCCTCAGCCTCCTGAGTGCTAGGATTGCAGGTCTTCGGCACCAGCCCAGCTCCAGTTCTCTGTATGGCCTTGGATCATGGGGGCTGCCCGCAAGCCTGACAGGGTGTGCGGAGCTCTGGGAAGGGGCAACCTCACCCCCTACCCCATCCCCGCCTGGCTGCTACCAGCCAAGGAGGAGGGACAAGGAGATGAAAGAGGTGAAAAACTCCAAAGCTAAGCTCCGGGTTTTCCAAGAGGTTTCAAATTCTTCATTCAAACCGCTCTAGTGTTTTCATAGCTGTAGCCAACAGCACTGGGACTTCTTTTTGTTTTAACATTTGACGTTACTTTACAGCTTTGTGCCTCCCTAGACTTCCACAAAGGCATTTTAACTTTAAAAGAAAAGCTCACTGGGCCAGTCCTATGCCGTTCCCAGGAGCAGTCTGGGATCCATTTGGCCCAACAGGTGTTTGTTGAGTGACTAAACGAATGAAGCGATTCCCTGGGATACCTTTCACTCTCGGCGAAGTTTTTCTTCTCTCTTTAATAAGCTGGGATGACTGTGGACGTCTTCTCTCTGAATTGCAGGGGAAATCGGCAAAGTTGATTGAATGGTGCTTGGGAAACTTAACCATAAAGTTCCCTGAAATAAATGTCCCTTTTTCTCTTGCTTCAAAGGGTGTGTTTGGGTAACGTGAGCAACCCTCTGCCTGACTGGGAAGCCGGGGGACCGGGACCGGGACCGTGCCCCCTCCTCGGTCCAGCTAGCGAGCGGCTCCTGGCCGGGCAGATCCGGCCCGGATCCAGGCCGGGCCAGCCGCGCGCTGGCGTTTTCGGACGCGGTCACCGCGCGGCCGAGCGGCGACTCCGGGCCGGGCACCTGGGGCGGCCCGGGGCCCACGTAGGTGTCGCCTGCGCGCAGGGTGCGCGGGGCCCGGGAGGACGTTATTGTTACACTGTAACGAGTCTGATTAACGCGCTCCTGACACTTTCTCTTAGTTTCTCGGGCTCCTAGCAACAGCGCACAAAGGCGAGCGATTGTGCCGGGCTCCGCGGGAACGCGGCGGCTTTGATCTGCCACAGTCGCAGCCGGGCCGCGTGACGGGGCGGCGGGGTCTGGGCGGCCGGGCTCCCCCGCCCCGGAGCGCCGCTCCACGCTCGCACTCGCCGGCGCCGTCCCTGGGTCCCCGCGTCCCCGCTTCCCTGGCCGCGCGGGCTCTGCCTCGCCGGGCCCCTCCCGTCGGAAGCAGCGAGAACAAACCCCGTGGATCACTGAGAACGGGAAGAATCTAAAAGGGAGGCCGCAGATCCCCAGTCCCGGAGACTTGTTCGAAACGCACTTTCTGCATCTGAAACTGGGTCGCATCACAGCAAAAGGCGCTGGGGAGACCTCGGGTCTCCTGAGGGTGGCTTTTCTGTAAGGCGCGCCGCCAAATAATTACTAGGATTTAAACAAACCGACACCAAAGACAGCAGAAAACACCGGACTAAGAACAGTAAACAGCTGCCGGGCCCCGGCCCCAGCAGTTAGGGATGGAACAGTAACTCGCTTTGCGCGCCCGTCGGTCGCTCTTCTTTTTAGCTACTTCCTGTCCCGGTCCCGCTTAAAACAGCGCGGGAAGAAAGACTGAGACTCAGGCCTTAACATTTAAATGCAGGGTCGGGTAATTGCGTCTCCCCTTGGCTCTGTGAAGCCCTGGAGGGGAGAGGGGCCGGTGGCTGACGCTGAGGTCGCCGTCCGAGCCCCGCCGTCGCAGGCCTCCCCAGCATTCATATGCAAAGGTCTTGATGGAAATTTTATAACCGGTTTTGTGCCGTCGATTACTTTCCTAATACTAGAGAACAATAAATACATAAAAACGGAAGATTTAGGTGGCAAGGTAAATGGAAATGCTAAAGGCAGGATACCTTTCAAATAAAAAAGCCTCAAAGTCCCCAAAGAGTAAAGTCAGCTTCCGGAACTCCAGCACAGCTATTGGGGGCCGAGGTGGTTCGTGATAATAATGACACCTCTATCTTGCAGACGGGACAGCCGCATAGTTGTCCTATTGACCCGGCAGAATAGGCCCGGCAAGCGGCGACTTTCAAATTCACTAGCAGAGGCCGTGAAGTCTTCATTCTGCGGGGCCTCGGGTCCGCATCCTGCCCCCAGAGGACAGGAGGTGAGGACGGGGCAGCACAGGCACATCGGAAAGGAAAGTGCCCGCTTCTGCTGGGTGGACGGCAGCCCCGCTCCATAAAACATGACTGTATTGATATAATCCTCTATACCTTAAAATGAGGTTGTCACAGACTGTCATTAAGACCTCAGTAAAACAATGAAGACATTATTGGACATCCCCCCTCCTCGGGCAAGGTATTAGGGGAATAAAGCAATCTACACCACACGGGTCCTATTGAGATTAATGAAAAAATTATGCAAAAAAACTCAATTTCATTTTCCCGCGACGAGGCTTTGCATACATACAGTCCATCTTGCCTTGCACCTGATGATTTATTAAACTAATCTATGGTGATTGCCCTGATGTTCTCGACTCAATCTTGTCCAGGCTCATTTTCTAAGTAATTGTTTCTCATTAGTTCTGATAATGTTTTAATAGTGTTACCCATAATTTAGCCCCCAAGAATTAATAACAAGGGGGTGATCTGGAGAAATGGCTTGTGATGAGCTACACAAACTATAAACAGGTATGGTTTTTAATTAATCTGATTAGCAGCGAGGTCCTCTTCTCGCCCTCCCTCCCTGCCACCCCAGCACCCAGAGATGTGGGCAGGGCCAGGGGGACACCTTCCATGTCCTGCACCTCCTGCCCTGGAGCTCCGTCTGCCCAGGTCTGAGGGACATGGGCTGTGGCTAATGACTCTCTCCTGGGACCCTCGTTAGGGTCTCCGCTGGTCCCAGGCTCACGGTCCTACCACAGTCAGGACACTGGGTTCTCAGGAGGATCAGTGCGTTGCCTGGGAGACTGAGTGAGGTGGCTTTGTTTGAACCAAGTCCAGTTTGGGACCAGGGCATGGTGAGGTGTCTGACTTGATGGGAAGCAAGGAGCCCGTGGGCCCAAGGCTTGTGGGGCAGGGGACCAGGTTGCTTCTCCTGTGGTCCCAACACCCTGTACTTTCCTCTTGGGGGCTCCCTGTGGGGCCATCCCTGAGGGTAGGGGTCCCTGGCTTGAGGAGGCCACCTGTGTGGGATGGGGGCTGCCTGCATCACTAGGGTGGACACCAGAATGTGTGCCCTTCCCTCCTCTCACGCCAAAGGCTGCCTGTGACTCCTCTTGGCACGTCCTGGACCATCCTCCTGCTCCTGGCTCTGAGCATCCTCCTGTCCTTTGTTCTGAGCAGAAACTGCTCAGATCAGGACACGCCTGTTGTCATGACTCCCAGCAGTCCCCCAGGCCTGGACCGCAAGGCCATGGTGGCCACTGGTCACCTCTGAGGTTGTTGAGATGCTGTCCCCCCTGCCATTCCCTGAAGGGGGGTGCGGGTGGCTCCCACCACCTTTCCAGAAACTCTGGGGCAGCACAGGATGACTCAGGTGAGGGGATGACACCCTAAGGAGGGCCGGGAGGCTGCTCGGAAAGGGGGCCCAGCTCAGCTCGGGAGCTGTCTCCACGAGTCCCCTGTTTGGGAATATTAGTTGGTGTCTCAAGAACGTGTGTCGCCGGAGGAGTTCCTTGAGGAGTCCAGTGGACAGGAGTTCCCCTTTCTGCCCTGGTGGCGACATCTCCACACTTGGTCTTGGTGTCACGATGTCGTTGCTTGTGACCAGACTTCACTCTGCTCACCTCTCCAGAGGCTTCTTGTGGGGAAGAGGAGACCCCTGGTTGGGGCCCACGCTTGGGGCCATGGAGGGAACACACCAAGGGGGGGTAGGAGGAGGTGAAAAAAATGAAACTGAAGAAACAACTGTTTTCTATTTACAAATTTAAATAAACAGAACAGCCTTCCCTGCGGTGTTTGTCTAAGAGTAGCAGTGTCGCTGCTGTGTAGGTCGTGAAAAGGTTGATGTAGAGTTTAAAACTTCCCATTCTGTTAATTTCTTAAAGAACAGTCGTCCAGAGTCTCAACACAAAAGCTCATGATTTAATGAGGAACAGAAACAAAATCTCTGATTGTTGGTGTTTCAAACTTCATTGGCGTCTTCTGGCATGCAGGAGCTGATCCTCCTCAGCTTCAATACCCTTTAGCCTTCAATATAAGAGTACGTGCTGAATAGGGAACAATGGCCGGTTGTTATGTTTATTTACCCTTACTACAAGCTGGGTTAACCTCTTCAAAACAGCTTTACTAAGCCCGTTAACCACACCACCCATCTGACCTGTAGCAGCATCTCTAATGTGATGCAAATCTCACAGGGGGCCATGCGCACCAGCCCTGGCTTTGTGTCGTTGGAGACACTACAAGTTTATGGCCGAGGGAGCCCTGTCCCTGCCATGCATTTGCAGGGAAAATGGCCTCAATGGCGAACAGTTAAACTGGGAAAAGAAAGGGCAGAATGGATGGTCTTGTGTTTCTGCACATTTCTTTTTTAATTGCCGGTAACTGTTGACCCAAAGCATTCACCCCATGAATGCTTTCGGGCTCACTGTCCAGCACTTGGAGGACAGAGATGGTGCAGCTGGGGGATGGGGGTTAACAGTAATCAGTTTGGGAAGTTTATTTTTAGCAGGTAGCTTTACAAGCCAACATCGTGCTCCATAATGTTTTCTGTGCTGTCTCTGTTGTTTTAGAGGACTGCTAGTGACACACACAAAACCCTTTAATTTTACTCCTTTTTTTTTTTTTGGTACTGGGGATCGAACTCAGGTCTTTGCTCTTGCAAGGCAGGCAGGGGAACCACTGAGCTAAATCCCCGTCCAAAACCCTGCACTTGCTTAAAATCATCTGTGATGCTGGGCGTACAGATGGGTAACGTGGCAAGCACTTCCCAACACGAGGAGGCAGAGGGAGTCTGTATATTTGACAGATCAGCCTCAGGGAACCCTAGCTTCTTCCCACCTTCTTCCCTCCTTCCATGATTTTATCTCCCTGTGAAATCCTAAGTCCATATTTGTAATGCATTAATAACAATAAGATCATAAACTTAAGGGCGCCAAGGAAGAAAGCTCAATTTCAGAGGAATAACTTGGCCATAAGACAACAACAACTGCCCCATAAATGCATTGGAGCCCCAGTCTGGCATGCTAGCAAGTTGCCCGAGTGTACATCTGGCCTTAAGCAATCCACTGTATATGTTCAGCCCACCTGATGAGCCTCATTTAACAGATCACTTCTCCTTGATGGCTGTGGCAAGCGTAACAATGTTCTGGGCCTGCTTCAGTAACGGCATGTCGATCATACTCCCTTGGAAAGTAAAGGCTCCCTGGAAAACACAGAACACAAACTCCTGAAAGAACACTTGGAATTACTGGCTCCCTTTCTGCACACACTTGTGCAATAAGAACGTGTTTAGATTCCACCTGAATTACACTGACTTTCCCACCCAACTTTTGAGAAAGCCAAAGTAAAGTGCAGGGGAAGGATTTCCTTTTTCTTCCTAAGGAGGAGGGGGAAAAAAAACCTTTCAGCATTTTAATGGAGAGGAAAAATATATCAGATGCAAAATATGGGAAACTGTTCATTTAACTCTTGAAATCAAGCAGAAAACAACCTTGGAAGGAAAATTTCAATAGTTCCATTCTATGGTTTTTGAAATATTGCATAAGACTTTAAAAGCAGTAATA